ATTTTTCTGCCCGTAAACAATAGGAATGAAAATTGTCTTGGAGAAGTTGCTGAACTTGCTAATTCAAATCAGCAAAATTGACAACGCATGGTTAAAGCAATACGATCTCCGAAATCCCTCCTGAGTTAATGACTACATGTGGTGATGTTGATTCTTCTCCATCACACTGTTGAACTTTCTTATTCGTCCAGCTTAGTACCCTTGATAAGCACATCTTGTGTATTGAAAAATAATAGCAGGGAAAAATGTGTTAAAGTTAATTGTTGTGACTAAAAGGGGAATTGTTGAGTGTGCTACATCTCCCTGTTGATGGGAATAGTCAAGATTCACAGGCTCCAGTTTCAAAATCTAGCGTTGCCATTAAACAGAAAGCTGCAACATGTCAGACCCATCTTTCCTACTAACAGTTTATCAAGTGTTTTTTTGAGTTATAGGGATGATGTCAAAAGAGTGATGAGGCAATGCTTGTAGTGTTGCAGGGTAAATTTTGAACACGTGAAGTTCATACAAGGCTTCATCGTTGATGTATCAAAATCCTGAATCACTTCCTAACATACAGTGTGTCCCTACACCACAAGGACTGCAGTGTTCAAGAAGACAGTCCATTATCACCTTCTCCAGAGCAGTAAAGAATGGGCGATAAATGCTGACCTAGCCAGTGAGGCCCATATTCCATGTACAAATAAATAAGTCCATATGTATATCATGTTAGACTGATATGCTGCTGACAATGGTTGCTGCTCAGCACCAAGAACCATGAATTTGACATGTGCTGCTGTTATATTCAGAGGATCAGAAAGCTGTCAATTCTGCCAAAGTGCTTGCCATAGTTCCATGGCTAAATTGTGATGTAAGCACATTGAGATCCATGTTGTTTTGCTAAGTATCCATTTTAGTTTTGAGTACGCCTTCCTGCTTCCCATCCACAATAATGCAAGCTTATCCCTGAAGATAATTTACTGCAACTGACTGACTGCAACATACTATCGTTTTGTGCAGATAAGTAAAATGTCAGAGATCAATCAATTGATCTTCAGCAATAATCATCAAAAATCAGACCAGTTGCACTGCTTCAGTAGTTTTGAAAATGTAGTAGGATCTCAGTCTTCCCCTTAATAGGTTTTTGACAGCTGTTTCGCGTGGCTTTGCCTTGTCCAAGTGTATTGTCATTAAGTGGCACATAACAGGAAGGAGAGTTGAAAAGCAGAGTTACATGGGTTCTATGCTGTACTGAACATGGATTTTTGACAGCATCTATTCATCATCCCTCTGGACTGGAAAAGCATTACTGTGTTAATGTGTAGCTGGAGGATTAGTTATAAGTTTTCTGCGAGTTAACACTTTCCTGGAAAGGTGAAGACCATTTGTGTTTCCATTTGGATTGCAAGGAGCTCATGCTCCTGTATGGTGCACTATTGGAAATATTAGGGTTTCCATCTATGATTTATGATGTTGTGTTCACTAGTGCTATGTGGGTTATGTGAAGAATAGAGGAGATTCAGTAAATCTACCTTGGATTATTCAAATGTACCTTTGTAGTTGTTTGGAACTTGAAGTTTGTAGAAACTGGGTGTAAATTATCTGTTTGCTTCCTCCAGTGAGAGGAAAGAACATGATACCCAACCATCATTGCTTATCGTTTCCCTATGCAATCCCCTCACACCCAATGTTTTTGACCAGATTGGAATGTTAGGTAAATTAGATATTATAATGACACATGGAACAATATTACATGGATGTCATGTTAGAAATATAAAAGTTTAAAGACTTAGAGGTAATGCCCTTTAGCAGGAAGAATCGAGAAGCTGAATGGCACTTAAATGGAGGAAGATTGCAGAAAGCTGCAGTACACAGGGATTTCGGAGTTGAATCACAAAAAGGCTAACATCCAAGTTCAGTGGGTAACAGGGAAAACAAATTGACTGTTGGCAGCTGTTTAATTGGGAATGGGGCACAAAACGAGGGAAGTCATGCTAAAACTATACATGATGCTAGTCAGACCACACCTAGATTTACAGTGAACAGTTTTGGTCCCTTTATCTAAGAAATGCATACTTGTTTTGAAGACTGTCCAAAGAAGGTTTGCTGGATTAATTCCAGATATGGAAGGATTTCCTTATGAGGGAAGTGTTAGAACCTTACTGATCTTAAATTATTTTTAATTTATTCTTTTAACAATTTTGGTTTGGAGTTGTGAACTGGGAATTTGAAGCTAAAGATGACTTATGGACAGTGGGTAACAGATCGTGCTACAATGATATCAGACCAAATAAAAAAAATACCAAATAGTTCTGAGGAAGGGTCACTGGACCCGCAACGTTAACTCCGTTTTTTTTCCCTTCACAGATGCTGCCAGAGCTGCTGAGCTTTTCCAGCAACTTTGTTTTTGTTCAGACCAACTAAACTTTTGGTCATTATTTGCAGGTTGGCTCTAATAAAAAGGTTATGCAGAGGCTTCACCACGGGGGAAAGAACATTATGTTTAAACAGATAGCCAAAGTTGGCTATAATTGAGGTCAGTGCTTGGGAATTGGATCCACCAGATCTGGAAAAGATGTTATGCTCAAACAGATAGCAGATGTTGAATGGTATCCGAGATCTTGTGGAGGAGATGGTCCATCTGTCAGAGATTGGTCAGAGTTTGAATTAGGTTTTCTGCTGTGTTTTCTGGCTGTTGATGCAACAACATAAAGATTTGAAAGCTCCCTGCCTAAGCTCCCATAAGCAGCTTTATCTGAGTGAATTATAAGGGTGACCCTCGGAAAATCAACTAAGGCAGCATCATCTATGCCTGTGGAACAATGCATTGTGAAATACTTAAATAATCTGGCCAGTTTTGTTATTTTCCTTCATTTATCCTTTAGCTTTGTTTGTTTGTCTGTCTGCCTTTTGTGAGAATGAGATTGTAAACAAAAGCTGTTGGGGATAAAGCTGAGACCAATTAGATTACTTTGATATTTAATCTTTGTTCTGGTAAAGTTATTATATTATTAATAAATTGGTATATCTTTTGTTTAAGATACAAACTGTGCCTTGGATTAGCTATCCAAAAATCTGGTTAGGAACCATTAAGATCAATTTTGAGGGTGTTTGAAAGTTTTCATTTTAGTGTGTTGTGATTACAGAGGTAGAAAGTCTCATTTAGTTCAGCTGTTGTCTCCACGTCATAGCACGAGATTAAGTAGGTTTGGCTTGGACTCTTTGGAATTTAGAAGAATGAGGGACATCTTATTAAAAGACACCAGATTTTTTGGGGTCTTGACAAGGTAAGTACAGAGAGGTTGGTGCCCCTGTGGGAAAATCTGGGACCAGATGATATAATCTTAGAAGAAATTGTAACCCATTTAACAGTGAGATGGAGAATTTATATTTTCTCAGGGTACGTATCTCAGCCTGTAGAGGCTGCAATAGGGTTAGTTAAGTTTTTTTGAAGACTGAGATTTTTAATCTTTAAGGGAATCCAAGATTCGGGGGATAAAGTAGGAAGATGGAGCTGAAGATTATCAGGTTAGCAATGATCTCATCAAATGACAGAGCTCCCTAAATTGGCAAAATGGCCAACTTCTGTTCCTATTTTTTTTATGGCCTTGAATAGGTTTGGATAAAGAATTTCAGTTAATTTATTGACTCTTGTATAATTAAGAAATTAACTCTTTTGACTTGCTGTTTGATCTGACATCTCATCCCAAAGATGGCATCTCTTACAATTTTCGATACTGCACTGAAACATCAGCCTAGGTTGTATGTTAATGAATTACTGCAGGACTGAGACCCACAGCTGTTCTGATCCAGTGGCAGATGTGCCACAGCTGTGCTTTCTTGAAGCAGCCTCCTCCTTGGTTAACCAGAGTTGAAATTCAGTTTTGAAGAAGTGACCATTTAGCTAGGTAAGGAAAGATACAACTTGGTTTTGTGTATTTCCACAACTCCAAGATTTCTCAGAATGCTTTACAACATAAAAAAAGGTATGAATGAAGTGTTGTCAGTACTGTAAACTAGGAAATGTGGCCATTAATTTCTCCAATGTGACATTTCGCAAACATCAATTAAAATACCTGTCTTGATGAATTGTTTTAGTAATGTTGGTAGTAAACATTGGCGTGATACCAGGAGAATTCCTCGTTAAGATAGTTCCATGGTATCTCGTATCAGGCTGAGGGCAGAGAGAGTCTGAGTTTAACATTTCATATCAAAGATAATAAGTGCCTAGGTTATGTAGAATGGCACTTGAACCCACAGTGTTCAGACATGGTGGCAAACATCTTCATGCTGATAGAACATCAGGCTTGTGATTGAAAAAGGAAATCAGCACTAATATCAAAGTGATGGAAAGAGTTGTCGATAGTGACAGACAAGTGATGCTTACTGAGCAACAATCTGCTCATTGAAGCTCATTGTGGGTTCTGGCAAGACCAATCAGGGGCTGATCTCATTAAAGCCTGGGAACATTAACAGACAAATGAGTTGAACTCTAGTGGGTGGGCTGAAAGTAACTGCCCTTGACAACAAGGTTGTATTTGACCGAGTGTGGCATCAAGGCAACTTAGCAAAAATGGAGTCAATGGAAATCAGGCAGAAGGTTTATACTCATCATTCAATCGTCTCAATTCCAGGCTATCCATTAAATGAGATCTTCAAGTAGCGTCCTAAGTCTAACCATCTTGAGCTGTTTCATCAATGATCTTCCCTCCATAAAGTCAGATGTGGTGTTCTGCAATCATCAACAAACAATGTTCAGCTCTATTGACAACTTTTCCGATACTGAAGCAACCCTTGCCTATATTCAGGAAGACCAAGACAATAGTCTTGGACTGATTATTGACAAGTAACATTTGTGCCACATAATTGCCAGACAATGATCAATTCAAACTTGAAATTCAACAGCATTATCATTGATGAGTCCCATACTAACAACCCCATGGGAGTAAGCCTTGACTGGAAACTGAACTAGACCAACTATATACAAAAACAGGTCAGGAATTCTGCAGGGAGTAACTTACCTTCTGTCTTCCCCATTATCTATCTAACATCTCCAAGACACAAGCCAAGAGCGTGGTAGAATACCCTTTACTTGCCTGGATACATGCAGCTAAAAACAGCACTGAAGAAACTCAACATTTTCTGGGATAAAGTAGCCTGCTTCACTGGTACTTCATTTATCATCTTCAGCTCGTTCACCACAGATACACTGTGGCCGCAGTATCTGCCATCTATAGCTGTATTTAGATACAGAGTCATACAGCCCACCGTATCTGTGCCGACCAACAAACACCAAACAACACTAATTCCATTTATCTGCCCTTGGTCTTTAGCTTACTGTGCCCTGGACTTTTAAGTGCTTTTCCAGATGCTTGTTAAATGTTGTGAGAGTAAGTGTCTCCACCGCACTCTCAGCAGGTTCCATATATCTACTACACTCTGGGTGAAGACACTTTTTCTCAGATCTCCTGTAAACCACTTACTTCTCACCTTAAAGTTATGCCCTCTGGTCTTAGACGTTTCTGCCACAGGGAAGAAATTCTCACAATCTACTCTGTCTATGCCTCCTCATAATTCTGTATACCTCAATCAGATCCTCCCTCAGCCTCCTCTGCTCCAAGGAAAACAAACTCAGCCTATCCAGTCTCTCCTCATAACTGAGAGTTTTCATTGCAGGCAAAATCCTAGTGACTCTCCTATGCACCCTGTCCAATTCAATCATGTCTTGCTGATAGTGTGGCAACCAGAACTGCACACAATATTCCATCTAAGGCCTAGCCAATGTTTTATAAAGCTGAAATGAGACTTCCTTGCTTCTGTGTTTTTCATCTCATCAAATGAAGGCAAGCATCCTTCACTGCTCTGTCTACCTGTATTGACAGTTTCAGGGATCTATGGACTTGTACACAAAGATACCCTAGTTCCTAAATACTACTTCCTTTATTAGACCTTCCAAAATACAACACCTCACACTTATTGGGATTAAATTCCATCAGCTATTGCTTTGCCTAATTTACCAGATGATCAATATCAGATTGTGGCCTGAGATCATTCTCTTCCCTATCAACACCATTCCAACAGTAGCTATCCTCCAGTCATCTAGCATTTTGCCTGGCCAGCGAAGTATTAAAAATATCTGCCAGAGTCCCACCAATCTCCTCCCTTGCCTCCCATAGCAGGTCCTGGGGATTTATGCACTTGTATGTCCGCTCAAACATCTCATACCTCCTCTTTATTAACTTAATGTGTTCTAAAATCTCACCATCCTAACTGAAATCTGTCTACAATATCTTTCTCCTCTGAATTCAGACGAGATGTGTTCATTTATGACTTCAAATATGTCCCCTACCTCCATGCACAGGTTGTCCCTTTGGTCTGTCATTGAATCATTGGATAGGTCCCAATTTTTTCCTGGTAATTGTCTTACTCTTAACATACTTATGAAAAGCCTTGGGGTTTTCCTTGATTCCATTGGCCAAAGATATTTCATGCCCCCTCTTTGCCCTCCAGATTTTGTTTTTATGCAGACTCCTACACTCACTTTATATTTGAAGGGCCTCTTCTATTTTTAATGTGCTATATCTGACATATGTTTCCTTCTTTCTCTTTATCAAATTCTCAATATCCCTTGATGTCTAGGGTTCCCTGGACTTATTGCCCTTGCCCTTCATCCTTAGAGGAACACGCTAATCCTGAATTCTCATTATGCTACTATTAAAAGATTCCCACTTACCAAATGTGGACTTAACTACGAATAGCTTCCTCCCAGTTTATGGTTGTCAGATCCTGTCTAAAGATATTGAAATTAGCCTTCCCTAATTTAGACACTTCACTTCTGTACTATCCTCATCCCTTTCCACAATGACTTTGAAGCTTAGAGTTATGGTCACCATCCCCACAATGCTCGCTCAGTGAAACTTCAACCACATTTAATTGCTGTGTGCAGTTTTGCACACACCTCTACAAAAAAAAAAGGCAGATAGTTAGTGGAGCATTTGGCTGTTGACCTTCTCTGCCTTAGTAATGTGCTTTACACTCCTGAACTCCAAAATGAATAGTTTTTTTTTTAATGTCTGCTAACCATTTCGTATTTCTAAAATATTCTTTATTCCAAATTCTTGATTAGTACAACATGATCAAGGCTTTCTAAAACTGCAGTAAAAACAGAATTAATCTGCCTATACGAACTGTGGAAAGTGACTATTCCATTTCCACATCTGAGTGAGGTTACCAGATTGTGAATGGTTTTATGCTATAGACCCTTGCCCCTGAGGAAATTACTCGAGACTGAACAAAGTAATTTCACAAATCACCCTTTCAGGCAGAGGAGACTCATATCCCTTCATTTCTCGTGCTAAAGGCCATTAGGCTGTCTAGGCAGTCCACTCCAATCGTGATTCTTCCCTCTGTCCCTATTTTCTTTTTAATATTTCATTAAATTGCCCTCTTCCTCCTGTTTCTTTATCAAATACAGATAGAAAACACAGACAGTATTGTAAGCAGATCAATTACTTTCTCTTGAAGTTTGATAAAGCTGCAGTTGTGTTGTATTTTCCATGATTTTGAGGGAAAAAAAGGTTTGTAGAAGTAGAATCCAGACCAAGTAAAACTGTCCCCTTTCAATATTACTCCGCCATCTATCCATTGTATATATCAATTACCCCTAACACCAGAGCAGGTCTAATTGCCTCTTAATCATATTTATACTTCCTTCAGTGGTCTTGCTGACCACAATATTTTGCAATTGTACTTGGATGGAAAAGTTTCATTTCCATTTCCTCTTCTATTTGGCTTCCAAACTTTTAACTCTTATTCAATCATGCAATAATTTAGATGTTCCATTTTGTTTGAGACACTGGACAGTAAAGCACCATAAAACTTGGATCACTCGATGCATAATCCCCTCTCAAGGGTGGTGAATATTTAGCTGAACTTTGTGTATATATCTGCTGCAGTCATGAGGACGGTACCAGTGTAGCAATGACTGCAACACAGCTTTGCAAGCAAGGGAGTTAGGTTGAATTCTGCTTTCATTGTGCAGATTCAGCGGTTTCAGCCTTGCCCACTTATTAACCACAGATTTCATTTTTTTTTCCCCTGTCAGGATGAATAGTATTCATAAATGTTCAAATAGCACTAACACTGTATTGCTCTTCGTCTCTAGCTACAATAATATTCTTAATTAGGAGAATCTAATGAGATCGATTAGTCATTAGCCCTGACCTCGCTGGCCTGCGGTGTGTTGTTGGCTGATAACAGAGGAGCTCAGAATATTGTTGATAATAAAAATGAGAGTGCTTAGTTAGAGTGATATCTGTCAGTGTGGAATTAATCTTTTATAACCAATAGTTAAATTGAGGTGCAGTTGCACTGAGTTGGTGAGGTTCTGTAACAATAAGGAGGTTCCACTCTGCTGATGCCACAACTGAAGGTAAACTCACTTCCCAAATTTTGCAGCTGCCTAAAGTTAGGTTTGCTGGCAGTCTATGAACAGGCAGTAAATGTGCTGAGTCAGGTCGAGAGCCTCTGTGCTTGTCGGAGATGCAAAAGCTCATGTGGTCTACAAAATTGTATTATATCCTGAGGTATAAGCAAGTTTTTGATTCCAAAGCTGTGTCACAAAGAGTACAGTGCCAATGTAAATAGAAAAATGACATGCATAAGATGTCCCCAGGCTTACACTGTAATTATTTATTAAAATCCTTTTGTATAATTTTTAAAATTTCTGTTGACCAGTTTCAGACAAGCCTGACCAATCATATATGTGCTGTTCATAGTACTTAAACAATCCAGATACGGAGGGTGTCTGATTTTATTATAGAAAGGTGAACAACTATTCTCTTCTCCAGGAATCCTTGGTTATTTCTGGATTGCTGAGCCATGGCTGCTGATGTGATCTAATGAGGGTGTGGAATTCAGTTCTGTGATTAATAGTTGCTAATCTATGGATTGTGCTGCGTAACACAAAAAGGGGAAATAAAGACTCCCAGAATCAATTTAGACAATCTGTGGTGTATTTTGATGAAAATTTTCCCCTCAGACTGAGTGCTGATTACTTGCCCAAGCAGCTACTGCAAGATTTTTCCAGACAAAATTTTCTGCCACCTATTGCTCTAAGTGCTTTGAGTCTGGTATGACATTTTTACAGAACGCCAGTCTTTGGACTCAAAATGTTAATTCTGTTTCTCTCTCCATAAATGCTGAGTTTCTCTAGCGTTCTCTGTGTTTGTTTCAGATTTCCAGCATCTGTTTTTATTTTCTGTGGTCATTTGTAGCTTTGGTAGAACTGTTGCAAATAAGTCACTTGAATCAGCATAAACTGGTAACTGCACTCTTGTTGGTCAGTGTTCTGAGCTATCAATTGTGAAGAAAGGTCAAAGAAATTAATTCATTATCTCAGGATTAGAAACAGAACAAAGTTGATTTTTTCAGCTATTTTTGTTTTTGTTTGTGAAAGTTGATTCTGGCATTTTTTTCCAAGTATCATGAGAAAATGGTTTTGGAATTTTAAATTTTATTCACTTTTATTTGACTATCCCTGACTGGGTTGTTTAATATGTTGTTCAGAGTCACCTGTACGGTGTAGAACCAGAGTTTTCTACAGACAGGGCTAAGTAGAGCTGGCAGATTCTCTTTTCTGAAGAGCTTTAGTAAACCAGTTAACCAATTAAACTAGGAAACCAGTAAAATTCTGCAGATGCTGAACATCTGAAATAGAGACTAAATGTACTAGAGAAATTCAGAAGAGCTGACAGTGTCAGTGGAGAGAAAAGCAAAGCTAATAAATCATCTTCAGAGCAAAAGGGAGCTGAAAAATGATGGGTTTTATGCTGTTGACAGAATGGGAGGATGAGCAAGTTGAACAGATGACATGGGTGCCCAGAGCAAAAGACAAAGAGAGTGCTAATGGCAATGAAGAAGGAATTGAGATGCAGAATTTGTATTAAAATAGGTGTGAATAGTAGAAGATAGATTAGCTCTGCTGAGAGAAAACCCATGCAAGCAAGACATGGAGGGGTAAAGATGGAAAGGGGTGAGTCATTACTCATTGGGATAGCGAACTTTTGGAACTCCAGCTCCAGTTTTTACATTCTCTCCTTATGTTTCTCATAGAAACCCTGCAGTGTGGAACTAGGCCCTTCGACCCCCAACATGTCCACACCAACCCTCAGAGCATCCTACTCAGACCCATCACCCTATAACCCACCTAGTCTACACACCCTGAACACTATAGGAAGGAAATTTAGCATGGCCAATCCACCAACCCGTTTCAGTTGTAACTGACTATCACCTGATTTTGATGTTTCACTATCTGCAGGAAATGCTTTGCCGTTTCTAGTGCTGTGTTTTAAACACAGCATAAAACTTGGTTTTCCTTCACCTATGTAATTTCTCACTACCACTCCCAAATTCTTGTTGCCCCTGTTTCAGATCCAATCCCAGCTAAGAGACCCAAACTTTTTAATCATAACTCACTGGGAAATATGCTGGAATTCAAGCCCTGCTTTTCTTGGAATCATCACAAAAGTGGACACGGAGTGTTAGTATTACAGTATTACAGCATACATTAATAAAGGAACCAAGGGAGTGAGAGAATAGCCAAATTGAGTTTCATTGGAGTAATGCGAAGCTGGATGACTTCTACTTTAATGCTAGGAGTATGATAGGTAAGACAGATGAGTTAACGGCGTGGATTAACAGGGAATTGTGATGTTGCCTTAACAGAGATATGGTTGAGGGAGGGACAGGAATGGCAACTCCATATCCTAGGGTGTAGGATCTTTAGACAAGGTAGGGGAGGGCGTAAAAGAGGAGGTGGTGGTTGCATTATTAATTAAGGAGTTGGGTACTGCAGTAAGAAGAGACAATATGTGGAAGGGTCCTCAAATGATACTTTGTAGGTAGAGCTTAGGAATAAAACAAGAGGCAGTTGTACTGTTGGGAGTGTAATATCAGTCCCCTGTCAGTGTGACATAGACCAGCAAATTTTTAGGTGATATACTGAGGTTTGTACAAACAATAATAGCATAAATATATTAGAGAATTTCAACTTCCCAACATTAATTGGGATAATCATAGTATAAATGGTTTAAAAGAGACAGATTTCTTGAAGTGTATTCAGGAGAGCTTTTGATATCAACAAGCAGAATGCCATTACTTGACGGACAGAGTGTTGGACCTAATTCTGGAGAATGAAGCCAGACAGCTGTTTGAGGTGGCAATGGGAGAGCATTCTAGTGATCGTGACCACAACACCATGTGCATTAATTTTGCTGTGGATAAGGAAAAAGGTGTCTGCAAAAAGGATTTGGACTGGGGGAAGGTAGGTTTATTAAAATAAGGCAGGATCTGGCCGAAGTAGACAGCAAACAGCTACTTCTGAATAAATCTAAAGCAGAACAATGGGGGCATCCTGTGAAGTGTTGGACAAAAAGCCCAGAGAACTCAGGATTTTTAGGAATATTCAGGATTGGATAAGAAGGAAAAAAGAGGCTTTTAACAGGTACAAAGGAAGCAACCTTACAGAAGTCCTAGAGAAGTATAGAAAGTGCAGAGGGGTGGTATTTCAGATAGCAATTAGGAGAACACAGAGGGGGGTCATGAAAAACACTGACATGTAAGATTTGTGATAATCCAAAGATAATTGAAAGTGTATTAAGGGGAAGAGAATAGTCAGGGCAAGATTAGGGACCAAGGGGGGAATCTCTGCTTGGAGCTAGAGGACGTTGGTCAGATGTTAAACAAGCTCTTCATATCTAACTTCACTTGGGAGAAAGAAGATGTAGGTACAGAATTCAGGGAAGGGAATGTGAGGTTATTGAGCCATTGACATGGAGTCAGGAGGTATTGGAGGCTTAAAATAGGACACATCCCCAGGTCTGGATGAGTTGTATCCCAGGTTGCTGTGGGACACCTGGAGGAAATTACAGGAGCTCTGACCCTTTAATTCCTCTCTGACCACAGACGTGTACCAAAGATCTGAAAGACAGCTAATGTGGTTCCACTTTTCAAGAGGACATTAGGGGTGGCACGATGGCACAGTGGTTAGCACTGCTGCCACATAGCACCATGGACCTGGGTTCAATTCCAGCCTCGGGCGATTGTCTGTGTGGAGTTTGCACATTCTCCCCATGTCTGCGTGAGTATCATCCGGGTGCTCCGGTTTCCTCCCACAATCCAAAGATGTGCAGGTTAGGTGGATTGGCCATGCTAAATTGCCCATAGTGTCTAGGGTGGGAAATGCAGGAATAGGGTAGAGGGTGGGTCTGGGTGGGATGCTCTTCGGAGGGTCGGTGTGGACTTGATAGGCCAAATAGCCTGCTTCCACACTGCAGGGATTCTATGATTCTATTCAACGATCTAAAGACCAGCGAGTCTCACACCGGTGGTAGAGAATATTGAAGAAGATTCTGAAAAAAGAATTAATCTCTATTTGGAAAGGCAAGTTTTAATCAAGGACAGTCAATGTGGCTTTGTCAGAGGGAAATCGTACCTAACAAATCTAGTTGAGGAGGTGACCGGGTGTGCAGATGAGGGTAGTGCAATCGATGTTTCTATGGATTCCAGCAAAGCCTTTGATGAGGTCCCATGTGGGAGATTGATGAAGAACATAAAGGCACATGAGATCCAGTATAACCTGGCAAGTTGGATCCAAAATTGGCTTAGTGGCACGAGGCAGAGAGTAGTGGTAGAAGGCTGTTTATGTAACTGCAGGTCAGTGTCCAGTCGCGTACTACAGACATCAGTGCTGGGTCCCTTATTGTTCGCGATATAATTAAATGTTATAAATGAAAATTTGCAGATGACATGAGGATTGGCCAAATGATTGACAGTGAGGAAGAAGGTCAGGTTGGCAGATTAGAGGCAGGTGAATTTTTACTCTGCTAAGTGTTAGGTCACGCACCTTGGGAGAAGTAACAAGACAAAGGAATACTCCTTGAATGGCAGGTCAGTAGGATATTCAGAAACAGAAAATTTGGGATGTTTGTCCACACTAAGGTGGCAGGATAAGTTAATAGGGTAGCTAAGACAACCTATGGGTCACAACTTTCTCAGTCGTGACATAGACTACGAGAGCAAGGAGATATTGTTTGATCTGTACAAAACTTTGGTTTGGTCACAACTGGAAATTATGTGCCATTCCGGTCACTGCACTATAAGAACGCTGTGATTGTACTGAGGAGTGTAGAGGAGATTCACCAGCATGTTGCCTCGGATGGAGCAATTCACCAATGGAGAGAGGCTGGGTAAGCTCAGGTTGTTTTACTTAGGGCAGAGAAGGTTGAGAGGGAACGTGATTAAAGTGTTTAGGATTATGAATAGCATGGACAGGGTGGATAGAAAGCAACTGTTCCTCTTAGTTGAAGGGTCGGTAACAACGGACATAATTCAAAAGGTGATAGGCAGTTGATTTAGAGGGGTGTCGAGGATTTTCTTTTTCATCCAGAGGATGTTAGGATTCTGAAATGCACTGCTTGGAAAGTTAGTTGGGGTAATGAACCTCAACTTATTTAAAAAAAAGATCTTGGATTAGCACTTGAAATACCAAAACGTTCAACACTATTGGACAAGTACTCGAAGGTGAGATTAGTCTAGATTAAGAGTAGCTTTTGTTGGTGCAGATTTGATGGTTCTCTACTGTGTGATTGTATGTCTCTAAAGTTTTAAAAAGAATACGAAAAATCCCCAAACTGCCTGATTTTCAGACTCTGGTTGATAGAAAGTATGGACCGGGTTTTTATACTTAACAAATTCAATATTTAGTCCAGGTAATTTAATTCCAACTACAGTTAAATGATTAAATTAGATGAAGTAAACTCTAGAAATTAAAATTTTGAACCCCTTATAATCTCCACCCTTAAACAAGCACACACAGAAAACAGGGGTAAAAAATACATGGATGGAGGGAAAAGTGGAAACATTGTTCCATTGCAACAGGGTGTATGATCCAGATGCACTGTAGAAATTCACCAAAGGTCCTTAGACAGCACCTTCCGCCCCATGACCACTTCCACCTAGAAGAACAAGGGCAGCAAATATGTGGGAATACCACCAATTGCAAGTTTCTCTCCAAGCTACTCACCATCCTGACTTGTATTGCCACTCCTTCACTGTCACTGGGACAAAATCTTGGAATTCCCTTCCTAAGAACATTAAGGGTCTATTTGTAGCACATGGACTACAGTGGTTCAAGAAGGCAGCTCACTACCATCTTCTCAAGGGCAGCTAGGGGCAGGCAATAAACTCTGGCCAATCAGCGATGAGAAAGTCCCACAGGTGAATACAGAAAGCCTTGTTCTGATCTTCTGCAAGATCTGTTACTTTGATTCTTGCTGGTCTCAAGGTTTTTCCTTAACTTAACTTTTCCTGAATGCTTCCGCTGGTAATTCAAGGGGCAAAAGGTGGCTGGCTTACATATGAAAGATCTCTGACTTATTCAATTCATCTTGTAACATCTGCTAAAGGAAAGATAAGTTGGGTTTCAAAGTGGTTCAAAGTGATATATTGCAGAGAGAGGGAGAGTTTTTCACTGTTCCAGACCACTTTCTCTTCAGGTCTGTTCTAGCTTCGATTTGTCTTATTCAGAGCCTAATATCTTCAGCTACCTGACAACCAATCACATACTTGTTTGTAGGCAGAGGACTTTGTCATTGGTAACTGGTCTCTAGTCCACAAACCAATCAACTTAATTTGTAAACAACCCTTCAGCTCCAGTTCGTTTGCACATTGCAGGAACCTACATAAAAACAGGGTTATCAATTTTTTACTTTCAAAACATGCAGCTATCTTTAATCCCTCGTTTTAAACACTTTCTTCTCATTACATTCCACAGTTTTAAAAAGTACACGACTGAAGAGACAGTCTTTACAGGAATTATCAAAAAAGGGGACAGTATTCGTGCAGTATTATTCAGTTTTACAAACTATTATAGTGAGAGTGAAACTTGGAATCTCTTGGTTAACAGTCCAGTACCAAAGCTAAAACCACTCTGCTACCTTGTGTAAAGTGGGAAATTTTTCTGTCTTGGTTTTTATTGTCTATATAACTCCATTGTTTGTTATTTATTCATGAAATGTTTTCTCATGTTTTTGCAGGTCCTACTTCCTCATCTTCGGTGAGGAGCCTTTCAAATAACCAGTTGATCAATACAAGGTATAAAATAGTGAAGAAGAATGCAGGCTGGAATAGTGCATCACCAGGACCCTCATGCAGCATCTCCTGGAAGACCAAGAAGGTCAACAGCTCCATCTCTGGTTCAAGGTAATTAACATGCAAAACTTATTCAGGTGCTTATTCTCGTCAGTGCACTCTGCTTAAAGAGTTTAGTAGTGAAAGCAGAAGGTATCATTCTGACCCTGCCATAAGCACACGCATGTAATTTCAGTGGAACATGATGAGTAATGATAAGGAACAGATTTTTGACTGATTTAATCTATCATAGAATCCCTCCACTGTGGAAAGAGACCATTCGGCCTCAATCATCCGAAGAGCATCCCACTTAGACCATGCTCCAGTCCTAGCCTCGGTCCCCTACCCTGTCCTCATAACCTTGCATTTTAACCATGGCTAATCCACCTAGCCTGCACGTCCCTAGTCACTGTCGACAATTTAGCATGGCCAACCCACCTAACCTACACATCTCTGGACTGTGGGAGGAAACCGGAACACCAGTGGAGGAGTGGGTTTAGAGGGAACGTGAGGAAAATATTTTTCACCCAGAGGGTGGTGGGAATCTGGCATTCACTGCCTATAATGGTGGTAGAGGCAGAAAACTTCAATACATTGAAGAAGTATTCAATGTACACTTATGCCACCAAAAGGTTATGGTTGAAGTGCTGGAAAATGGGATTAGAATAGGTAGATTGTTGTTTCTGGCACAGACTTGATGGGCTTTTCTAAGTAGCCTTCTATACCTTTTCCAAGATGTGAATTCAGTGCTAAAAAAAATCAAATATTTTCAATTAAACACCATAAAAGAACAGTGAGCACAAGGAGCTTGCATTTTTATCCTTGATATTGCTTGAAGTAGTTCAGGTGGTTTTACGACGCCAAAGGCATCATGTTCTTTAACACATGCACATGACACAGTAACCAAAAGTGTTCTCCATCTTTGAACTCCTTTCATAAAACAAGTAAAGAGCTATCTTGAGTGAAGGCTTTGTTGTTCAGTTTGAAAAATATTTAGGATAGTCTACCCCTTGAAGTAGTATCTGCGTTGGTGTGTGTTATAAACGAGCAGAACCTGAAACAGTTGGAGGTAATCACTGCTGCTGTTGCTGAGCTGTTTGACTCAAAATCCATTTTCAGGAATATTTGTTAGCCAATGCTTTTGATCATAACGTGTACCTAATGTGAAAAAGTAAAGTGAGGAGGGCACTCAATGAAGCTCATACCGTTGGCACAGTGTGCCAACTGAGTCTTATTACATCTACACCGCTCTTCGTTGAAGCTTTTTATTGCTTGATAGGAGCTCTGCATTTACAAAGCTGAGAAAAGAAGTTTTCAAATCAATCATTGATTTCTTTGTCACTGAGGAGACCTCAGGACAAACTTCTCTGAAAACTCTGCTTATGTTTTGACAGCTGTGACAAATTCCACTATAGTCGCTAAGGCAATCCACAACATTTTTAAATTACCCACAACTTTTTTTTAAAATGATAAAAAAACTCACCTTGTTTCCCACTTTAACTAATCTGCATCTTTGCCAAAACCTAATCAGTTCATCCTTGGGCCAGAATCATTACATGTATCAAGTTTTGTTGAAATCCATCTGAACGTTTTTGAGATATTGTTTACATATTAACAGGGGTGAAAATATTACTTTGCCCACCTTCACTGGTGGAGGTTAAGAATATGTATTAGCTTCTGTTTTTTGTAAATATGAGGAATGTTAGACCATGTTCTGTATGCCATGTTGAGTGTAATGTGTTATTAGCAAGACTGATTTACAATGACCAAATAAATTAAATTCAGTCTCTGTTACATGAAATTCTCAATATTTTGAGGATTTATTTTGACACTGCTATTAATTTATTATTTGCAAGAGATAATTAACAGCTTTGATTATACGGTAACTGTCACCAAGGAAGACATTTGTTAATATTGAATGTTACAAGCCAATCTGTGGGGTTGAGCAGCACTTATGCAAATGTTGAATTTCAAATAAGTAAGTTCAGAAGATGTTGTAGGGTGAATTCCAGGGTCTGCCAGCAGAGTGAGGGGTATTCTGAGGTGTCATGTTCATATTGTGAAACATCGTAAAAAGCTTCCCTAAAGAGCAGCAGGACTAGAAAAGGCTGTTCATGTGATCCAGAACCTTAAAAGAATAGCAGGATCCAGAAAAATTGTGAAAATTACAGTACAGAATGAGGCCATTCCACTCTTTGTGTCTCTGTCTGCTAAAACCATCCCGCTGAAATCCACTTTATAGATCGTTGTGCGTAGACTTGTAGATTATGACACTTCAAGTGTATTTCTAAATGCTTTTTAAATATAATGATGATTTCTGACTCTGGCACCCTTTTAAAAAGTAAATTCTAGACTGTCACCACACTCTAGGTGATAAAAGAATTCCAACACACTTTTGTCGTCTTTCAGCCAGTTATTGTGAATACCTATTGTTGACTACTGTGCTTAGAAACATAGATCTTTCCTATCTCCTCCTATAGTGGTCTCGAAATTTTAGACATCTTAGTTAACTATCTCTTCAACTTTCTCTGTTACAAAGAAAACAACTCCAACCTATTCAATCTTCCTTTCTTGTAATGACGTTAATCAGAACTGTATGCTTTAATTTAACTGTGACCTCTCTAATATCTTATTCTATTCTAGCATGATGCCTGTGGTCTTATATTCTATACCTTAATTAATAAAAAGAAATATTCTTTACGCTTTATTAGTCTTATTTATCTGCCATGTTATCGCAATGGATCTGCAGATACGGCCTCTCTATTTATCTACACTCCATCTCAGTATTTATTTAGCATCATGTGGGAAACAACAAGGCTAAACCTGCTTGGCTGTCAGTTTCCTGCAGTCTGTTACCCATTTTTCAGGTTGCCTTTTGTGTGTATGCCTTTTCACCAGATTTTTACTAGTGTTGCTCATCTGTTTTCTAGCCTTAGGAGACTGTGATTTGATGTCAGTAGGCCATGCATTTAATTATTATATCTTACCTAATTCAATGGCTAAGAAAATAACAAGCTAACATATTGATTTGAAATGCCTGAATAGATTTTAACATTCGTTTTAAGAATAGTAGCTAGCTTATGTAATGGGATTGTACTTCTTCATAGCTTTTGAGTTGATTGTTGCTTGGTCAAGCACTGCAGAGAGATAACCTTGGTCTTTATAACAATAGACAGTGGAATGTTTATTGTACTGGAGAAAAAAGAGTGATGGAGAATTAGCAGTTTTTGGAGTGGAATTTGTAGCATTGACCTAATGGAGGTCCTGCAGCCTTGGAGCAATGGTAAGAGGTACCAAGCTTCGTTACTATAGTATTAAAGTTGGAAGGTCCCAATATGTGGCTGTTCCAGAAAGGGAACAAGCATTTGGAGCACTGAATTGAAAGATACAGATTTGGCCACATCTTGAGAGAATCTTTCGGAATGGCAGCAATGAACTAACAGCAGGCAGCTACAGGACATTGAAGCACGAGGAGGGAAAAGGTTCTCATAGCAAAAGGGAGTGGGTGCTAGGGCCTGAGAGCATTAATATGGTGTTTGAGGGTACAGAACTCAAGAATTGACTATAAATGGAAATGGAATCTCTCTGTGTCTGTGTGTCTGTGTGTGTAATTCAGCTACTATAATCTTCTAAATAAGGGGACAGCAAAAAAAAAAGTTTTGGTGCAGGAGTACAAAGCTTTACTGGGATTTTCCAAAGGGCAGAGTAATACACCAAATGAGAGTAATGTACCATGAACTCCTACATTGATTAGATCAATGAAAATTTTCCTAATGTAGTTCCCTAATTAAAAATAATTTTCTTTGCATCAATTTCTTGGCACTGCATTAGTTGTTACTGTACTACATTTGTAACAGTGCCAAGTTCAGGAATAGTTTGGGAGAAAAAAATTCAAGCAATTTTGAAGTACAGAAAGCTGAGGAAGGAGTGCTTCAGTTGCTTTTCCCAATTGAGGCCTCTTTTCAATCAATGTTTGAATAAAGTGCAGTACACTTGAATTGCCATGGAGAAAGTTGAGGAAGATGGAGCAATATCTGTGACAACAATTTGGGACTGTATAGCATTCTGCAGCAATGACCTGATCTTTCTGTTATGAAGTGGATAGTTTGGCATTTTATAACTGGCCTGTACATCATTGTGGCCATCACGAGAGCAGCTTTCAGCGGAGCATCACTGGATACTGATTTCCCCCCCTCAGTGGTCGAGAACGCCCTCCACCGTGTCTCCCACATTTTCCGCAACTCATCCCTCACACCCCGTCCCCGCAATAACAAAATAACCAAATAACCAAATAAGAAACCACCTCGTCCTCACGTACCACCCCACCAACCTCCGGATCCAACGCATCATCCTCCGACACTTCCGCCATCTGCAATCCGACTCCACCACCAAAGACATTTTTCCCTCCCCACCTTTATCTGCTTTCCGGAGGGACCACTCTCTCCGTGACTCCCTTGTCCGCTCCACACTCCCCTCCAGCCCCACCACACCCGGCACTTTTCCCTGCAACCGCAGGAAGTGCTACACCTGCCCCCGTACCTCCTCCCTCACCCCCATCCCAGGCCCCAAGAAGACTTTCCACATCAAGCAGATGTTCACCTGCACATCTGCCAATGTGGTATACTGCATCCGCTGTACCCGTTGTGGCCTCCTCTACGTCGGGGAAACCAAGTGGAGGCTCGGGGACCGCTTTGCGGAACACCTACGCTCGGTTCGCAATAAACAACTGCACCTCCCAGTCGCGAACCATTTCAACTCCCCCTCCCATTCCTCAGACGACATGTCCATCCTGGTCCTCCTGCAGTGCCACAACAATGCCACCCGAAGGTTGCAGGAACAGCAACTCATATTCCGCTTGGGAACCCTGCAGCCCAATGGTATCAATGTGGATTTCACAAGTTTCAAAATCTCCCCTCCCCCTACCGCATCCCAAAACCAGCCCAGCTCGTCCTCACCTCCCTCACTTGTTCTTCCTCCCACCTCAAGCCGCACCCCTATCTCCTACCTACTAACCTCATCCCACCCCCTTGACCTGTCCGGACTGACCTATCACCTCCCTACCTCCCCACCTA